GCCCCCGCCTCGGCCGTCGCCGCCCGATGTGTTCGTGGGCTTCACGCCCCACCCCGCGGCCCTGGGCCCCCCGACGCTACTGGCGGAGCAGATGAGTGTGATTGGCAGCCGCAAGAAGAGCGTGAACATGACCGAGTGCGTGCCGGTACCCAGCTCCGAGCACGTCGCCGAGATCGTGGGTCGCCAGGGTGAGTGGCCGCCGTCGGGGGCGCAGAACCGGGGGTCCCTGCGCTGCTGCTCGGGGGGAGGGCCGCCCCAGCCCTGCCCGCAGACTTAGGCCACGCCCCGTGTGGGCTTTGGCCTCAGTGGCCGCCTTGTGCCTGCGCCTTTGTCCTGCCTTTGGCCACAAGAGAAAGTTGGGCACAGCCCGCGCTCTGGCCCCACCGCTGCCTTTGTCTGGGCGCCTCCAGCCCGGAAGGGCCCCTATGTCCAGCCTGCTGCCCGGGCCTTGGGCTGTGCCATATTGGAGACCAGGGGCCGTGCTGGGCGGTGGGCTCTCCACACTCAAAACAGGCGTGGGGCGGGCCAACTCGGGTTGGGGGGTTTGGGGGGCGTCCAGTCAGGGTGATGAGAGAAGTTTGGCTACACAAAGAGGGTACATCAGGACTTGCCAGCCGGGAGACCCTGCTGGGGCTGGGGTGGGGGGGCAGAACAGGATGAAAGAGGGTCCCACCCTGCTCTCAGTGAGAGTCGGGAATTTGGGGGCATGTGGAAGGACAAGGACCAGTTATAAAAGGGGCTCCTGGGATCCAACCCCAAGGCCCTAGCCTGGCAGGCAGGCGGGCAACAGGCCCGGGGATGTAGGGGTCCCCTCAGTGGTATTGCCGAGCGTCCCTGTGGCCGCCCCATTGTTCTCTTTGTTAGAGAGCCAGGCTGAGATTTGCAGGGTGACATCAGGCTGGCCGCCGCTCATTGGCCCTGGAGCTGTGGGGCGGGCGGAGGGTGGTGGGCAGTGCCCACATACCCACCCACCCTGTTAGCTGCCTGCCCACCGCCTCAACTTTCTCCTGCCTTTCAGCCCACACTTGCCCCCTCCCTCCTGTCCTCTTTTGGTCAGCCAGGTTCTAGAACTTGGGGTGGGGCCTGGGCGGGGCTTTAGGTAGGGCCAAAGGACACTCAGGCCGCCGGGGGGCAGGGGGTGTCTCAGCCTCTGGGCCCTCAGGAACAGGAGCCAGAGAAGGGTGCGGGGTGGCCTGAATTATAAGGTAACCTGTCATCCTCACCACCACCACAAGCTATGGACAACAGGGATGCTCTGGACACGGTCCTCTGCTTGTTCCGGGTGGGTGGGGTGGCTTGGTCAGCAAGCCCTCTGGTCATTCATTTGTCCTTTCTACATGTGGACACAGGAGTGCCAGGCATGGTGCTGAGACCCACCATCAGGAATGAGAGTGAGAGGAGGACACGTTACTCTCTGAGCCCTGCTGGCTGCTGTCAGGGACAGGCATGCTAGACCCATGCCGGACAGTTCTGCTTCACCACCCTGTTGCCACCTTCCTATATAGGCTCCCCACTTCCCTGCCCCTGTCCCCCATAACTGCACTGGGACATAGAAAAGATAGTTGCCATGTATTGAGTGTCCAGAAACCTGCAGTTGGGCAAGTGTGGATATGGATGCCTGGGGGCCATTTGCCCAAAATCACTAGGCTGATGTGTTGTGCAGTGGAGCATGAGGGTGTGTTCTGTGTGCATATGTGTGTCCTGGCACCTGAGGGTTCCTTCCAGAGAGGCCGCCTCTTATGTCTTACAGGTAGTGATAGGAGTCAGGCAAGGGGCATGTGAACCTGTAGCCTCAGGCTGAGTGGTGTGGAGGAGTGAACCTGGGGCCTCAGGCTCCCCCCGACCTCCTGGGTGTGCATTTGGCACCCAGTTGTTGGGTGCCAGCCTGTATTCTTGGTGGTTGTAGACAACAAAGCAGACTCTAGGCAGTACGGTGTTCCCTGCAGACTGGGGAGGCCCTGTGACCCTGAGCAAATGAAGAGCCCCTCTCTGTAGTGGGGAGCACCTCCCTCAGGGTTTTTGTGTGGCTTCTTAAGGTACTGGTTCTAATCCCAGGCTGGCTCCCAGTAGCCACCCCACAAGTAGGCTACTGGGTACCAGGGAGGGAGAGTGAATACCAGGACGGGTTGTATTGCCCAAGCTCCATCTGTGGCTCCCATCCTCTCCCACCCAGTTCTCAAGCATACCCTGGAAGACTGCCCCAGCCCTACCCCTTCCCCTCCTCCCATCACCTACCCCATTCTCCACCCTCTGGGTCTCTGGATGCCAGGACAGCCCCCTTCTTACTGCTCAGGCTCTCCCCAGTGCCAGTAGCTCAGCGTGCCCTCAATTACTCACCCTTTTCTGTCAAATCCCAGGTGCAGCGCCACCCCTCCCCAAGAAGGCACAGGAGGAAGAGGCTTTGAGAAATGAGGCAGGGCTGGGATTTGAACCCTGGTGTCATTGGCTCTGCCTATCCTGTTCCCTGGGATGCTGGTGCACACTAGCCATGGGGATGACCTTGGGCCCTTGCCCTCCCCCCTTGCCATCCATGCCCTGTACCCAGGGCGAGACCCAGTCCATGTCTTTACCAGGGCTGGGCTTGGTCAGGTTAGGTCTTCAGCACCGTGCATAGCACAGTGCCTGCTGCACTGTGAGGAACAAGTGAATGAATGATGATGAAGGCAGGGCTTGGACTGGCAGCCTCCCCCTCCCCCCGGGTCTCCTCTATCTCTGAGATCAGGCTGTGGATGGTGGCGTGGGACTGTTCCCATTATCTGTTCTTCTCTACTCCCCGGGCCTGGCCCTGACCCTGACCCTGTAGGCCTCAGGTGTTCTTTCTGGCAGCCAGGGACACTGCAGGGGTGTTGGGGTCCATGCCTTGGTGTTCTGTCTATCCACTGTGGGGCATAGAAATAAAGAGGTGCCCATGCTTGAGTTGGCAATTGTAGACCTGCCCTGCCTGTGGGGAGCTTTCCATGTCCCTATGTCACAAACAAGCCAGCTTCCCCCCAGACCACCCTAATGTGACATGGCCCACCGAGAACTACATCCCACTTTGGCCTGGCCTGATTGTGGGAACTTGTCCTAGCCCACCTTGCTTTTGAAGCTCTGCCCCTGCTGTTCCCTCTATTGGAGTCCTCCTCTGCCTGCGTCTTCCTTCCCCTCATAACCTTGAGGTTTTGTTGATAAATGTAGCCTGTGGTCACCCATGGGGCTTGGTTCTCTGAGTGCCCAGGACATGGGTATGGCGAGGACCCCATAATGAGGTCATATGAGTGATGGGAGGCAAAGGGCTGCCCTAGTCTGCTAGGCTCTCCTGGAGACCCTCAGCCTCCCCACTTTGAGGGGAAGGTCTGGCTGTAGTGGAGTGATGGTTGCTAGGGCCTGAGGCAGGACAGTGTCAGCCTCGAGGGCTGTCACCACATTCCCAAACACACCTAGCTCTCTGAGTTGGAATCCTGAGGGCAATGCCCAGGAATCTGCATTTCAGCCTGTGCCCACCTATCAGTGGTGGCCCCCAGAGTTTCCCGGGCATGGGGCTCAGCCCCTGTCACCACCACTGTTTGTTTTGTGTGTTTGTTTGTTAATCCTCACCTAAAGAGGATATTTTTTCCATTGCCTTTTTTTTTTTTTTTTTTT